ACTTTTGAGAAAATTTCTAGGGGGAACTGCTATCAAACCTTTATGAAAAGGCCTTGCTCAAATCTGGGCACTTCCTCCCCCCCTTTGCAAAGAACTCTATCAAATCTCTTTGAAAAAATGGTTTGAGTTTGGTTTGATGGAGCTTTGAAGTCGTTTTAATGGTGGCTCTGAGTCTTGCGCTGGTTTACTATTATAGTGCTTCGAATTTGCATTCAACAATGAAACAAACCTCTTATGAGGTGCACCACCCAAATCAATCTCCCCAAAAGGACGGGGCATTTCCATGGCTCGAGCTTTGGCCATGGGTCCTCTTTTTGAGCTCATCAATGGCTGGTTTTGCCTTGTTAATGAACCAATCCATTGCTTTACTCGGCCTATCATAACCAAGTCGATCTTGAACATCATAGAACTGAATAGCTGTATGAGCAGCGAGGCGGACACACCTATCTCTCGGCCAACACACTGTACAGACCTTGCTGTGCCCATCTTTCCGACCTATGGCTCTCACTATATGACCGCCTTCGACTTCCACTATCTCACGTTCGCCTCCTCTCGACTGAAAGCTCAGCCTTCGCCTCTGGTTTTCCAGCTGGTTCCCCAGTGATATTTCGCGAGAAGTTTGAGCAATTTTAGGGAAAGGAGAGAGCCATGGGTTTGGTAATGGTGATGAGTTTGAGAGAGAGGGGGTTGAAAGAAAGGGGGGAGATTCAAAGGTGGTTTCCTCTGGTTGAGATTTGGATCTCTTTTCCCTTCCAGATTTGGGTCTTGAAGTGATTAATCTCAAAGGATGTATACATTCTTAATTGCTTCATGGGTGAACCAGAGATGAGCTTCTACGGCAACGGCGGAGATGCACCAAAGTGCAAGAAAGCTCAACATCTTAGTAGTGTTAATCGTCTCTCTCTTTAAAAAAATGGTTTGATTTTTCACAGAGGTTTGATCCAAAAATTAGTACATCCAAAAATTTCTAGAGAGAAGGGGGAATTGCTATCAAACCCCGCAATATTTTGGCTTGATCTAGCTTCTCCTATATGGTGTATTTTTTTTTATATGTATTTAAGTAGCTTTGATATGGTGTATTTTTTTATATGTATTTATCCGATTTTTTTACTCCGATTTTTTGAGGTTAGTCCGATATATTGGCGATAGCTTTACATGAAGTATTTTTGCCGATCTGTATTTTTTATCCAATTTTTTCATCCAATTTTTTTTTTGGTGATACCTTTTGTGGCACCATACCCCCACGCCTTTTTTTGGGAAAGGGTGGCACGCCCAAATATGGAGGCACGCCACTTTTAGTGGATTAGGTATACCCATTCAATTTGATTTGTTTCAAATTTAAATTTGCTAAGTTTGAAATCGACATATGGTTTCCCAAATATTGGTTTGATTTTAAATAGGGGTAGATTGGGAGATATATTCCTATTCTTGGCACTTAAAATCATGATGGCTGATTTTTGAGATGGATGGCTCTGATTAATCTCTCACCCCACATATTTCATTTTCTAAGTATGGCTCTGATTAATCTCTCACCCCACATATTTCATTTTCTAAGTATGGCTCTGATTAATCTCTCGCCCCATAGATTTCATTTCCTAAGTATGGCTCTGATTAATCTCTCACGCTACAGATTTTATTTCCTAAGTATGGTTTTGGTGAAAATTAGATAAGGTAGGAATTCTATTTAGTCTAGATTTTCTTCTATTTAAAAAGGGGTTTGAACCTATTTGAAAACAAACCTATTTAAAAAAAAGTCAGTAGATGTTTTCTCTCTCCAAAAGATCTCTCTCCCCTCACGCACCAATTTAGAGAGATCTCTCTCCCTCACGCACCATTTGGGGGACCTCTCTTTCTCTCTTTCATGCCACCTTCACACCACATTCTCTCTCTCCTTTATTTATTTTTGTCTTGAAATAAAAAAATAGAGGCAACCTTTTTTTCTTAGAGAAACCCTAAACTAGGGTTTGCTGTATTTTTCAAAAGAAGAAGAAAGAAGCTTAAGTTAGAGAGATATCAAAGAAGGATAGCCTACAAAGCTTCCCTATTCTCTCTCTATTTTTTTTATCTTGAAAGAAAAAAATAGAGGTGACCTATTTTTCTTGGAGAAACCCTAAACTAGGGTTTGTTGTGCTTTTCAAAGGAAGAAGAAAGAAGCTTAACTTAAAGAGATATCAAACAAGGATAGCCTACAAAGCTTCCCTATCTAAGAATATCCAGCAACACCTTAAGGAGGAGAAAGTGCGCATTGGTCAGGGAATCGGGTGTGGGGTGTACCAAGTCCTGGTTGGGTAACTCCAAGCATCTTTCATTAAGTCTTCCCATTAGTTTTTATTTATTTTCAGTTTTCTATTTTTTTGTAATTTTCAAGAACTTATATTGTGTTAAAAATTGATATAAAAATTATTTTAAAGTTCCTTGATAGTTTCTATTTCTCTTGGCAGTAAAATAAAAATCCTAGTTTGTATTTATGGCATTGTTTTTATTTTCCAGCATTCAGGTATTTAAAATAAAAATATAAAGAAATTTCTAAATTTAATACCTTGAGTTCCACATAGCCACACCTTTCAATTTCCCTGCTCAGCAAATTCAGACTGGAGTTTCTCTCTCTCTCTCTCTCTCTCTCTCTATCTCTCTCTCTTTCTCTCGTCCTGAATAATCTGTCTTTTATCTACTTATGAATCATTTATTGTTTAAAATACTAGGATATTTGTGTGTAATATGCCAGCATTAAGCACTGCTCACATTGACACTCTTTGGGATGCTTCTCTCTCTCTCTCTCTCTCTCTCTACACATGCATATATATATATATATCTATATGAAGGGAGAGTTAATAGGAGTGTAACTTTTGGATTTCTCAAGACTCTTATTTTTCCATCCAAATGAGTCTCTCCCTCTTTTCTTCTGTCTCTAAACTCTCATCCGTAAAATATCTTTATTAAAAAATCTATCCAATTATAAATTTTCAAAAACAAATATTGTGTCCATTCTCCTTAAAATCTCTTTCACGTTTTTATCCAGGTTATGATTTAAGAAAATATTCTATCATGGATAAAAAATAGGAGCGAACGAAAGAAGAATACTTAATAAAATTTTAGAAATATCTTTTATATGCTAATTATGCTCACCAAACATACAAATTACAAAATTTTGAACTTCTGTGATGGTATTCAGCTTATTCATAAAAGGAGAGCTCAAAAATAAAAAAAGAAAGAAAAAAAAAGTTAGAAAGTTAAATAGCTAAAAAAATACCAGATGTAAAAATGAAAGAAAAAATAATATATTAATTTTTAATTAAATATTCCATAAAATATTTATTGTCAAATCTTTAGCAAGCGCATCATGCAACACATGCACCATTCGTCATCATCCAAGCTTTATCCCAATGATTTGGGATCACCTTGCATGATAAAATGTGGCAAAGTTTTACGTTGGCTGCCTTATCTAATGCAACCACCGCCTTTACCTATCCTCACCCTTATTAGACCAATGCACCATTAGTAAAATCTATAGCTAAAATAAGGAAATAGATTATATGGGTTGATGGATCCGTAGTTGTTGGGACTGGGGGCAGGATTGGGATTGGGATCCTAATTAGAATCTTGATCAAGATCAGGATTGGGATTGAGGAATCATGAAAGACTAGAAGATCTCTAGGGTTGGGAGCATCGTCTGTACAATACAAATGTTAGGGATCTCGACCCCGACCTTTGGACATCTTACTCCCAACCATAAAGAGTATTTTATAGTCCTAGACTGTATACACTCTTTGAAATAGGGATCTCCTTAATTATAGTCAGCAAGCAATGCAATTTTATTAAAAGAGAAAGAAAATATCCATTTGGTTGTTATCTTGGCCTACAAAGTGGGGATCGAGATTCCTAACAGGGGGTCGAGATGCCAAAATTTGAAGATCGATATACGTTGAAGATCCCTTTCCCGGGGCACTGAAGAGAGACTCTAGAGCGGGATTACCAGCAAGGTTGGGAGATCTAGCAACTATGGATGGATTCTGGGTCTTATAATTAAGATGTAAAATCATGCATGCTAGTGCACTCTATCTAAGACTATGATATGGCAAGAGGAAAATTTTATTGATTTATGGCATGTGTTTTAAAATAGGGATATTATGCAATGAGACCATTTACTTTTGATACAAGGAGGTCACAATTACTTACAACCATCTGATGTGAAATTCGATAGCTTGGGTGTGTCATAAAGTTCGAGAAATTTCTTTTGAAGGTTGAGTTTGGTCAATGAAATAGATGCAGCCATCAAATTTCACATCCAATGGTCAACATGAATTGTGACCACCTTGTACCAAAGATAAATGGTCTCATTGTATACTTTCCTTTAAAATAAATAATGTAAGTTTTTGAAAAGATCAGGATTAATATATTTGTGATCCTATCTTATGATGCCGGATAGATCTTTTTACTACATTCTGAACACTCTACAATTTATGTCATTAAAACAATAGTAGGATAGGATACTCAATTCTGTATTTGTATCATGGATTTAATGAAATGCCGAGTTATATAGCTATTCCTGATGTCCATGTTGATGTCTAGATCCATAGTTGTGCATCTAATGTATTTGATACTTATATCTCTTAATCTTTTCTTACTATCAAAGCAGACTATCTATACGTTCTTCAAACGTCAATTCATGTTAGCAATTTCCACAATCATTTCCAGCAGAGGGACCCATGTTAACATAACTTGCTTTATAGCTGACTGAACCATTTCTATAGTCACAGTATAACCTCTCTAAACTTCCATTCGGACATGCTGTACAGGCACAGCTACATGTTTCCCACATCTCTGTGCCATGGTTTCTGGAACTTACAATGGATACATTCCTATCATTATTCAAATTGTTCTCAACATACATTTGTTAACCCTCCATTTCATCCGATTTTCCTTAATTGCCCATCTTTTTGCATATGAGAAATGGGCTTCTTGTGGGTTTCAGGTGACAAGAGTTAAGCTTTGTTTTGCAGGAATTCTATGAAGAGGTTGATTTAATAACCAAAGGGGGGAACTATGGGTGGCGTGTTTATGAGGGCTACGGTCTTTTTACTCCCATTTGGTCTCCTGGAGGGAACACTAGTACAAGGTCCATAAACGCTATCTTCCCAGTAATGGGTTATAATCACTCCGCTGTAAACATTCATGAAGGATCTGCTTCAATCATTGGTGGCTACTTTTACAGGTCCACTTCGGACCCTTGCATGAATGGAAGGTAAGTGAACTAACAACATTTGCCTCACAATGCATTGGGCTGAACTTCCAAGGTTTTTAGCTAAAGGAAACTGTACTAATGTAGCCAGTGTTTAAAAGATACTGATTTTGTGAAGTTGGGAGTTCGTCAGGTATCTGTATGCTGATCTATACGCGGGTGCTTTGTGGGCTGGTCTTGAAAATCCAACAGATAGTGGAAATTTCAATAGCGCCTTGATCCCCTTCAATTGTGCGAGTGATTCTCCCATCCCGTGCACTTACGTGCCGGCGAGCACTCTTCCTGCTTTGAACTACATTTTCTCATTTGGGGAGGACAATAGTAAGGACCTCTACCTTCTGGCTGCTAATGGTGTTTACAGGGTTGTTGCCCCAAGCCGCTGCAATTATACATGCTCCAAAGAGGTCGTTACTCCAGTTGGGTCTTTGGCCCCCTCTCCTTCTCCATCATCAGCACATTTATTGTTTGTCCCTTTGAAGAAATTGTGTCTACTGCTACTTGTGTCTCCTCTTCTGCTATGGTAGAGAGATGGATTTTAATGTTTACACGTGCATGATGGTCCTGCAATACAATTTCCTGGAGATTTGAGCTTTTTTTGTGTGCTGTAGTGAAAGGACTGTTAATTTCCAAGGCATATTTTGTGACCGCCTTTGCTCGAGGACCTTGTATGTAACATCTGGTGCCATTTGCTATTTGAGAAATGTATGTTTCCACTGTATTTATGACCATCTAAATTAGTGAGAGCGGGCATGTACCTTTTGATTCAAAACATACACAGCCTGTCCTAGTTGTTTATCTGGTTAGCATTGCCTAGTGATTGTTCATTTGAACCGGCATTAAAAAACTCGAACTCAATGTCCGGCTTGTTTCAGTTAACTCTGAAAACATCCGAATGTAAAAGAAACAAAATGTCTATCATGGGAATTAGATCCGGGTCCTAAACTAAGTCGTATGCTATTAGATTGGAAAAAAGAATCCGTTTGTCACATTGATATACATAAAAGTTCACGGAAAAGTTGGACAAGTTCTGAGCTTCAATTATAGACAAGTTCTGAGCTTCAATTATAGAATCGCCCATTGAATATGTCGAGTTGATTTAGGCAAGGTTTTTGGAATTAAAATAATTTTTGACTCGATTTGAACCGTTGGGTAAGCATATATGAATGCTGAGCCTGATTTCATTTGGTTGTAGCAGTTGGCGTCACAGTCGTTAACATCCTCAACCTGTACCATCGCATTCCATTACTCTTGAAAGGCCTCCTTATAAAATGGAAAACACCATGGGCCTTGTTCTATTTTACTTCTATGGAGTTGTTTCTGACTGTATATTGACATGCGCTTCTCGCAAACAGTTCAAACTAGAAGGCCTTTTCTAAGAAGGATAATTGTTGATATCAGTGTTTAAAAACCAGGCTTGGGAACCAAGTCGGTGTGGCGAATTGGCCCGGTAGACTTGGCCAATATTTTTTAAAAAATATATAGAGAAAAAGGTTCAAAAAATACACAAAAATTAAAACACCTATTTCATATTATATGGGTAAATCAAAATCAAAATCGAAATAATAAATTAGAATAAAAAAGGGGCAAGTAGGAATGATAATGATGGAAAAAAAGGGGCAAGTAGGAATGAGAATGATGGGAAAATGGCCAAAAAATAGCCAAAGCCAAAAATCTAACTTTGACATTTTTGGTTTTGATTCAAAAAATCATTTGACAAGATCTTTTGTAGAGCAATGCTATAGGAATATTTTGGGATGAATTTTGAACTAATTTGGTGTAATAATGAGGGACAAATTAGAGATTGTTTATTTTTGGGGGGAAAACACAAAATTTCAAATGTAAATCCTTTCGAAAAGGGTTTTGATCCAACAAATCATGATGTATATTTGTTAGAGGGATCTAAAAGGATTATTTTAAAATAAATTTCAGAAATTTCAGTGGAGAATCGAAGGAGAGATTGATAGAGAGGCATATTGGGGTTTGAGCTTCGAAAGGGTGAATTATTTTATTATAAAATCTTGCACTAAAATTAGTTTTTATCCCAAATTTTGTTTGTAAAAATGGAAGGACGCAAGGACTAGATTAGTGTGTGAAAAATTGGATAAAAAGGAGTTAAAAACACCATTTTAATGAAATAAAAAATAAACAGAAAGCCCTAAAAACTGAGTCTAAATGTTACCGGTTGCTACCAGTGCCGAATGACTCAAGCGGTTCGGAGTTGACTTGCCAACTTTTTTGACTATGGTTGATATGAAGCGAAACTAAGCTTCAAAAAATCAAATTATATACAATGCACCATTGCATTTCATACACAAGTCGTAAACAGCCCCAAGCTCTCAGATATAAAATCAAAATGTTGGGGTACGTTATTTTTTCGTATACTTATAAAATTCGTTATCAGGTGAGCAAGTTTCCATAATTGTCATGGTGGGAACGAGTCCCTCGTGTTATTTATACTACATATATTAAGCCGGCAGTAAAAGGGTTGAACAAGTTACAATAATAAAAGAGAAACCATATATTTAAAGAGAATGCAGGGCAAGTGCCCTAAATATAGTGAGTTTAGAGCAAATTGTGTAAGGTATATTTCTATTTTTAAACAAACAAATTCCATCTTTTTGAAACAGAGAGACTTTGCATATTAATGTCTATAAGTTCGCTTCACAGGTTCTGTCCCTTTTATAGAGTCAAATAGTAGCATCAACTTCACTCAGTGGGATAAATTACAGGAAGAAAGAGACAAGCTCCGAGTGAGTTATAGAACAAAGCAGTGCACGAGGAATGCTTCTGGAGGGTAAAAAGTACAGACGTATTGCTTTGTTTTAATTTGCAACCAATACAATCTTTTACCTGTGAAATCACCAGAAAGTCAAAGAAACCATGAAAATAATATATACCGTACAATTTTCAACAAGATATGTACCATAACATTGAATATGACTTTCAATTACAAAAAAAACAGCAACATTGGGATTCATCCCTCATGGCAAGGTGCAAAAGAATGGGTTTCAGCAATTCTCATGCTGGTTTTCAGTCAATGACTGCGGCAGCTTGGATATTGCTCTGGTAACGACTCTGCAATAATCGAGGGAAAAAAAACTGCTGAAACAGAAAACAGAATACTATAGGAAACTTTATCATGATGAATTCTCTCATACCAAAGATCTTCAAGCTTAAAGGCCTTACTCATGCTATATCCTTCACGATCAATTCTTTCATAACACAGGTTCGCGTTTAAGGCATTAGACCTGGTGTTACACTTCAAAATTCCCACAACATTCTCAGATTAACCTGAAAGAAGAAATAGCCTGGGGAACACTGACACTAATTAGTGAATGGCCTATATATTTGCTTAAATGGCACTAATTCCATGAATTCAAAATTTTATTTGCTTTTAGGTAGAAAATAATGCTAAAGAAGTGCTTAAAAGATCCAAAAAGAAATAGAATGCATGTTTTACCATCTGAATGTTGGATTTGTATTTATTTGAGTCTTCCTCTAAAAACTGCAAAACAAATATAAGATATTTAAGAATAGATTCTTGCTCAGCAATTGCATTCTATCCTTGGAAAGTAGTCAATGGCAATAAAAAATGCAAAAACAAAGCAAGAGTTTCACTAGAAAAGCTTTTGACTTGAGAAGCAATATGACAACTATGATAATCATTTATCTCCAAGACATATTATGCTATAAAGTATGAAAGCCAAGAAACTCAGACTAGGAATGTTTCACACTGACCGGACTGTTAAAAATATAATTTGTAACTCTCTAGAAGCCCACAATTTTTGAAACTGTACTACTAGAAGTTCACTTTTGTTTACCATTGTAATAGGCGAGCGGTCAAGGGTCGCTAAGCTATTTTTTGTTGAAAAAATTAGAGAAGGTAGGTGCAATAATTGAATAATTTTTTGTCAAAATTGGTGTGCAATTTTTAATTGAAAAAATTACTTGTGGTTGGTGAGTAAAATGCTTATAAGTAGGCATCAATGGAACCAACAGTAGGTGTGTAGAAAAACCCCAACGGGAGAGTAAAAGCCATTATAAAAAAGAAGAGTTTTTTGTTCTATTGGTCCAAATTATTGCAGTATAACACCTATCTTCTTCAACACTGTTTGAATATAATAACGATTTTTTTTTGTTTGCATAAAGCTTTATCTTCAATATCTCTACCATTCTCTGCCACTGGATCATCAAACGTTCATTTTAGTGTGTGTAAATTCCACTGTTCTTCCTGCCCAATGGTAGAGATATTGAAGAGGAAGATTTACTCAAACAAAAAAATTCAATATTGTATTCAAACAGTGTAGAAGACAGGTGTTATACAACAATAATATGGACCAAAGGAACAAAGCTCTCTCTTCTCCATCTTTACAATAGCTTCTACTCACTCTTTGGGTTTTTCTACACACCCACCATAGGTTCCATTGATACCTATTTATAGGCATTTTACTAAGCAACCACAAATAATTTTTTAAATTAAAAATTGAACAACAATTTTGACCAAAAACTATCCAACTACTGCACCTGCCTTATCTCTAATTTTTTCAACAAAAGTGACTCACCAGGCTGCCCACTTATTACAATAGCAAACAAAAGTGGGCTTCTAGAATTACAGTTTCAAGAATTGTGGGCTTCTAGAATTACAATTTCAAAAATTGTGGATTTCTAAATTACAGTATCAAAAAATTGTGGACTTCTAGAGAGTTACAAATTATACTTTTGAGATCCCCCCTTAATTTGTAACTCTCATAGTTTTTATGAATTTTTCTTAGTAACTCTCATCGTAACTCCCATGGCAGTAAATTGAATGAATGTCAAATTGTAAGCCAGTGAGTACTACACTAGTAGTAAATGAAAAACTGTCAAAATATGATGGTGCAAAAAAGGTTGATGCACAATTTATCAAAGCTTGGTTGGTTGCTCGATTTATTTGACAAACACAAGGCCAGCTATTGTGCATGCAATTAATATTTGTTCCAGGTTCATGAATGAACCAAGTAAACTATATTTTGCGGCAGCTAAAAAGATTTTGAGATACATCTAAGGAACAAAGAAACACGATATCAATTTTTGAAAATGATACTAATCTTACTGGATTTTCTGATAGTGATTGGGTGAATTCAATTGATGATCGGAAAAGCACTTATTACTATGTTTTCTACCTAAGGGACAAATGTGATATCGTGATCATCAAGGAAGCAAAATACATTTGCTCTATCATCAGCAAAAGTCGAATATATTTCAACAACAAGTGCAACATGTGAAACAATCTGGCTTAGAAGAATCTGACTAGACTTGAAACAGATGTAGAAGTCCCCCACAACAATTTTCTGCAACAATATGTCTACAATTGCAATGACAAGAAATCTAGTATTTTTATAGTTCAACAAGCATATACAAATTCAGCATCACTTTATCCGAGAGCTGACAAAAAAAAGAGAAATCGAGTCGAAATTCAGCAACACAAATGAGTAGCTAGCAGACATCTTCACCAAAGCGATTTCCACCGAAAATTTCATTCAATTCAGAAATACTATGAGAGTTACAAATTAAAAGGAGATGTTAAAAATATAATTTGTAATGCCACAAATTTTGAAACTATAATTCCAGAAGCCCACAAATTTGAAACTATAATTTTAGAAGCCCACAATTTTTTAAACTGTAATTCTAGAAGCCCACTTTTGTTTACTATTGTAATAATGGTGAGCCATTTTTGTTGGAAAAAATTAGAGATAAGGTTGGTGCAGTAATGGGATAGTTTTTAGTTAAAATTGTACACAGTTTTTAATTTTAAAAATTATTTGTGGTTGCTTAGTAAAATGTCTATAAATAAACATCAATGGAACCAACAGTGGGCATGTAGAAAAACCCCAATGGGTGAATAGAAGTTATTGCAAAAAAAAAGAGCAGAAAAGAGAACTTTGTTCCCTTGGTCCATATTATTACTGCATAACACATGTCTTTTGTACTGTTTGAATGCAATAGTGAAACTTTTTGTTTGAGTAAAGCTTCCTCTTCAATCTCTCAACCATTCTCTGTCATTCCCCCAACAAATTTTGGTATCAGAGCTAGAACTACAACCTAGCATGATAAAACTGCAAAGAACAAGGGAGCTTATTAAAAGTTGTATCCTAATTGAGTGTATTTAAATAACAATGAAACATACACACACTGAATGAGTGTTTGATGATCCAGATGGTAAAGAGGCAACAGTGCTTGCTCCATTCATTAAGGCCACCATCATTCAAATAGATGACTCTCCCTCACCATTGTGACATGCTGGATGATTTCTTAGGGATTCTGGCAGTCGTCCTTCTCAGGCAGCATGCCCTTCCTGCCCAGTGGCTGATTCCCGTGTCTCCAGTGGTTGTTGTCATGGCACAGTTGTTTAGAACTTCCGTCTTCTTTCATCCATAGAGCTGCTTCCTTGCTCCAGCTTTATTTTACAGCCTTCTCAGGAAACTAAGGGGAGACTAGGCGCTTTCTGCTTTCCCCAAAGTCGATGGAGATCTAACCCAACCTAAATAGGCCGATGCTCACTCGAGGAGGTTCAAGGGCCTTTGAAGATCAATGTTCGAGGGTCCATGCATTAGGAATATGAACCTCACGAGGGATTAATTCTTTCAGGAACCATTATTTCCCCCTCAATGTCTTCATCCATACATATCTCCTCAAATTGAACAACAATCCTAGGTATAGGGGTTTATGGCTCAGTATGTGGTTTTCCCAGTAATGCGAAGTTTACGGAGCCTTCTAGTATGTTAAAGGCATGCATTTTGGTTTAGACCTTGAGTACCTGATTTAGGTATTGTTCTATGACCGAGATGGTGAACTTAGGGGATATAAAGAAGCAGATCATGCCCTGGGCAAGAGAGGCTTTGAATGCTCCCTTTAGAGCTGCATCAAACTGGGTATGCCTGCTATCGAGTACACAGACAAGTATAGAAGTGCTTACGTTTTCTCTGGTCAAGGAGGTAACCACCACTTCTAGTCTCCCTATATAGCAGAATCTCATGCCCTTTTCCATAATTTGCCCTACCACCTTAGCTTTCTAGATTTCAGCAAAGAGATCGAGAAGGATTGCTATGAGTTTTAAGACACCTCAGAGACACCTTCATTGACTTCTACATTTGTCAATAGACTTGAACCGAAGGCTTGAAGCAAGCCTTCCAGTTTGTAGATGTCAGTGGTTTTAGCTTGCTGGTGTTGCTCTCAATGTGATTACTAAAAAGCTATATTTCTTGGAGGGACTCCTTTCTAGAGTACCCTGCCAGAAGGACCTAGACACACCAACTTCATCTGGGTCCGATCTGCACAGTGATGACTCTTCGAGAAGGAGGATAACGGAATAAAGTCTTACTTCTTGTCAGATGAATACAAACTCCCCAAATACCCCCTTAAAATGGGATATCCAAGGACAAGACAAATGTAGAACCTTAAACTTGCGCTGATACCAAGTGGAGCACAGAAAATAAAAGCCCTAAGGTGGTGTTGGATCAATCAAACAATTATTTTTAGCCTACTTGTTCCCCTTCTTCCGTTCTTTGAGCCTATGCCAATGGCGGTCCATGGTCCTGGCTACAATTTGGAGTATCTGGTTGGAAGGCAACAATCGGATATTTGATGGTCAAACATCTGCATAGAGAAAGTGGTCAATAAAATTGTTGCTAAAGTGATATTGTGGGCAAGGAACCATAAAGCTTTTTGGTTCTTCTCCACAGAGGACTTCCTACAAATTGTAAAGCAATGCTACAGTCTTAAGCTCATGAATACCCCATGATCAAGTCATTAGACCCCTTGAGTGCCAAGAGTTGTCAAATTGAACTTCGATGGTTGCTCCCTTGGCAACACCATCCAGGCAGGGATCAGGGGACTGTTCTGGAATAGTGTACCTCCAGTTTCACTCACTTTCTCAGGTCCTATTGGGACCGCAAACTCTGACATGGCTGAGGCACATGCCTTGCTAGAAGGCCTAAAGTTGTTTGATATCTGGCCCTCTCTCTTAGTCAAGGGGGTTTCCCAAAATGCCATCTCTTGCACCTCAAAAGCATCCCCATACCCTTGCGCTTGCAATTGACCTTCGATCAGATATTCACAATCACAGTTGCACAAGATGCATCCTTTAAATATTTTTGGAAAGAGGCCAATGCTGAATCAGGTTCATGGGCTAAGCAGGGTGCAGTGGGACTTCAGATGGCTATTCAGAAAATCCAGCTGGAGTTCCAATACCGACATCCCCTGTATATTTTCAATGATCTTATACAAAATTGTGATTGATCCATGTGTACCACGCTGAAACAAAACTTCTTGTGCCACTCTGTGCATGCATTTGTATGTGTGTGTGAGCAGAATGGAGGGGTATGGAACTCAGCTGTGGACCTCCATCTGGAGTCTATGAATGCCCAACTATAGTCCCACAGCACCCTGCGATTGCACAGCACCCTGTAACAAAACTTGGTGGGGTACTTTGTTAAAGAGAGAGAAAGAGAGAGGGGGAGTGAGATGTCTATAAGATGAAGGGGACAGATCACTCACAATTTTGTATGAGTATCATTGAATAGATACATGTAAATCCCTTCTCCCTCCCTCTCTCTCTCTACGTTTCTTCTCCCCCAACTCTCGATACACCTTCTCCCTTCTCATTGTAACCAGCAGGATCACTCCCAAATTTGTACAAACAACAGCATTTTGTAAGCTGTCATTTTCTTATTAACGCAATATAATTAACTATTCTGAAAAAGAAACATACACGGATCGATTGAACACAAGTTCTTGCAAACATGGGATCGAACACATTTCTAGATAAGTATGGGAGTACCTGTCCGGTTACAGTGTAAAGTCTGTTATACCAACCATTGAATCCCAGTCCAAGAACCGAGAATATGTGTCTACAACTCTCACCAGGATTTTGCAGTGAATATTCAATGTAATACAAGCCTGCAAAGTTAATTGTTATTGAAAAGTAAGGACCCTTATCTCCAAGTACATACAACAAACATTAATACATGTCATGAATAATCACTAGGTATAGAACATGCTATGATAAAGCAGGGGCTGGATACAAGGAGTTATAGACTTGATAGAAACTAACCTATGAACTGTTTTACTTTTATCAGTATCCATCGATCATCACTATTGTGCCCTAGATTGTGATTTAAGGTTTTTTGCACAGCCAAGGAGAAAGAGCAGTAAAGGAATGAATTGCTAAAATCACATGTCCTGATGTGTTGCATTTATATGATTGTGCATGGCCATTTACAAGAGGACACATGGGTCTCTGATTAGCAACAAAACCACAGATAAGCAATACACCAAAGGCATGATGACTAGATATACTCGTACACTCTTCCTCAAGTTGGTGCATGGATACGACACATGCACAACTTGTCAATGATGGTTTGAAGACAGTCTTGACCTTGTAAAGGCACTCAGCCAGCAGGTCCTCAATTTTCATGTGTACTAATTATTTTGGCAATCACCTTCTCACAAGTGAAATGATAATCCACTTCGACATTTTTGGTTCTGTCGGAAAAACTAGATGCTGGAATCATGGATGGCTCTAGCATTACTGAATTATATAGTTTTAGGATACCTCAATTCCACAACCATGTCACAAAGTAGCGCATGAAGCAAAATAAGCTCACAGGATGGCCTCTGCACTTGAGCTAACAATCACATTTTGCTTCTTGCTCTTCCAAGTGATCAGATTACTATCGAAGAATGTGCAATAACCTGTAGTGGCTCAACAATCAATTGGACACCGAACCTAGTTGGCATCAGACATTCCTTTAGCCATAAGCTGTGTTGATTAAAAGTTGACCTGAGATATAGCAGGATGCGTGTCACAGCCTCCACATGTGAAGTTAACATGAATTGGCTCACGTAAACTGAAGCATACATGATGTCCAACCTGGTGATAGTAGGACACCTGAGATGATCAACAAGAAGTTGACAAAGTCCAACTTCTTTAGGACGTATTACAAAAGTGTGATCAACTGGAGAAGATGGGTCAGCTAGAGGATCGATAGGCTTGATGGTTAACCTTCCAGTTACACTGTGAGACAAGAAACACCCTTGCTGATCAAGCAAACTTTAACAACACCCCCCCGAAAAGGGAAAATTATAAAAATACCCTCTATGAGATGAACTATTTAACATTGCACCCACATTGTTTGATTTAATTTCAAAATACCTACAAAGGTTGTGAAAGTTGACTGAGATCTGTTCTCTATTTAAGGATGTATCATTCAACGATGGCATGAATTAAAATTTCTCACTGGTCATTCCTTTTAGATGGCAATATTTGCGGACAAATGATCTTTTACCAATACACAGGGATTTCCCAAATGATTGTCCAAAAGCACTTGCATAGTTCACATGGGGTTGATCTTACAGCCTATTTAAGTGCTTTTTGATGTTCAGCATCCCAGAGCTAATTCATTATTGCTTGACACGGACGAAATACACCCGATCTCAATCCTCCCCTTCACAATTGGGTCACTGAATCTCAGGAGATACAACCGTTACCACTGGTTCTGGTTTTTGGAAAATTCTGCTCTTTGATTGGAAGGTATTGGAAAATCATATATTGCATTGATTAACTTAAAAAAAATAAAAAATTCTTTCTTAAGAACTCAATACAACACAAGATTATATTTACAAAGGTGTTTTTTTCTGGTTGAGATTACTTGGCCAGAACTTGGGGGGATTTTACTGAGTTTTGGAAAGATTCCCTTACATTCTCATTTTGCTTCAGCAAGGTAAGTATACCCGAGGCATCAATTTTTGCACGACTAGGGAAAATTAGGAAGAACTTCCCTAGGTTGGTGCATAGTTGAGTGGCTAAACAAGAGAGACAATAGATGGCCAGCTTTCTTTTGCTTTCTTTGTCTTTGATAATTGCAATCATGCAGAAGGTCATGTAAACTTTTGATATGTGAATGAAGTCATGAGAAACGAAAGTAAGAATTACAATATAAAAGAAGTTACAATACCATTTTTGGCTTTAGAATCTAAGAGCTTTGCAGCTACACCAGGAGGCCTTTGCCAGCTTCTATCTAAACCACCTATCTGTACAGCCATGTAGTAACTTATGACCAGCATTAAGTATGCAACATATAAAAATATGAATTTATTCACTATGGAACCACGAGAACGTAGTGACCCACCAGAGTCTCAGCAAATGCATCAACAGGGCCAAAAGATTCCAATCTTGTAAAATCTGGGCTAAGTCTCGTAATGACAATGCTTACTGTAGAAGCCGGAAAATAATATTTCAAATCCAAGGAATAAATTGTTCAAGAGGAAGGTACTGGGCATCTTGAGAATACCACTACAATCAGCTTTTTCCTCTGGATAAAAAGCAGTTATCAAACTGCTACCGTTGGGATCTCCTTCCCCCACTAACCAATCTGTATGATGCAGCAGCCTTCGGTTAATGAATATGATGCAGCAATAAAGACACATTGGGAACTTTGGAGGTGAATTAATTGAATAACAACTAGATCATTGTTCTAATTAGGAAGATGTACTTATTATGCTTTTCAAGAACGAACCAACAAATTCAATCCAATAAATTAGAAGAATGCGTCTTAGATCCATTTCAACCAGGGGTAGGGGAACCCTTCCCCACTTAACTTCCCAACTTATATATATCTGTGTGTGTGTATGTGTGTATGTATGCACGTGTGCGTGTGTGTGTCTGTGTTTGTGTGTCTATGTGTGCGTGCTTACGTGCGTGCATGTCTATCTGTTTCTGTATCTCATTTTGTGTGTGTGTCTATGTATCGTGTGTTTGTGTGTGTCTATGTATCGTGTGTTTGTTTGTGTGTCTATCGTGTCTCGTGTATTCATGTGTGTGTGTCAGTGTGTGTGTGTGTATCGTGTCTCGTGTATTCATGTGTGTGTGTCAATGTGTCTCTGTGTGTGTATGTGTATGTGTCAGTCTCATGCATGTGTGGGTCCGTACGTGCATGCGTTTGTGTGTATCGTGTGTGTGCGTGTGTGTATCTGTGTCTCATGTGTGTGCCTGTGTGTACAAATGTTCAATTTGGACCAGATATGCATGTGGGGACTAAATATGGATAATGATCTATGTAAGAAGCTGCTTATACCAGTAAAAAATAGTAGATGAATGCCATTAGTTTAACTTAACAAATCCACTTATAAGTCCAAAAATAGCAGTAACAAATAAAGTCATGATCTGAAACTAGAAACTAGTGTCTGATGCAAGATATTTGGCATTGAAAGATTTTATTTAATGCAGAGTGTGGATTCCAGTTTCTAATGAGTCCTTTTGCCAATGGAATGGAGTTCATTCACTTCCGAAACAGTCTAAAACTACCATCAACACCCTCCCTGTTTAGCAATAGAGATTTTTGAGCAGGAAATATTAATGCCCAGCCAAAAGGCAATATGAAAAGTGGTTATCATATATGATGCAGCCGTAATCTATCATTAAAACAAACCTTGGCCAATGAATGGCAATAGCTATTAAATAAAGATCAGAATGAGAAGGGAAGCAAATTAGCAACCTAGCATGCAAAGTTTCTTATTTGACACTTAATTTACCACAACAAAATGAACTCACCCTGAGGAACCGATAACTTGAACTTATTTTCCTCGTCAGTGTAATTTCTGTAATATACTGGGAGAACTACAAAAGCAGAAATGTATTGAGAAAAAAAGAAGAAAGAAGTTAGATATAGCATTGCATATTCTGGAGAAACATCATGAACATCCAGATCTATCATTCACACCTAATATCCCATTTAATACACGTAGAAATCGTTGAAGAAAGTGAAGTCCTTTTAAATTTAATTAGGAAGTACAGCCCTCCTCACATACAAGTACTTGATGACAAACTAGACTACGCTTCTGGGAATGTTCACAAATGACAGAAACGTTTTTAGGGTAACAATATGGGTAAAAGTAACAATGAATTCAGAAAGTAACAGAATGGCCCTAGACCTGAACAGAATGCCGATATGCTTCTGCCGTTCCTATATAACTTAGAAATAAGTCTTCCACTTGTCCGAAATGTTGACGATCGACTTGAATTCAGAGTTAGCCGAAGAATTTCTTTGGGGCAAATTTCTTATAGGAATGTTCTTCGATGAAGAAAGGTGTCCATGTGTGTTTAGTTTCGTATTATTAAGCGGAACCATTCGCACTAAAAAATTAAATTACTCTCAAAAGATTTAGATGAGTCTGTTTTTCTCTCCTTTTTACAAGAAAAACACTTGGGATCAATATCAGTAGTACATTTCAATTACCCTACAGGATGTCTATACTTCAAATTCTTCAACCATCCAGTTCAACCTTCCAAATCCCCTGCTATAATATAATCATCCTAAAAGCATCCAAGTAATACAAACTTTTTGCAACCATAAACTTTAGCACACAGAACAAGCAACAGCAAGAAGGAGAGAGAGAGTACCAGTGTCCTCCGCAGCTGCAACCAAAGGAAAGAAAGAAGGGGCAGAAAAAAAGTGGAGGGCGCCGAGCATAGCATGCCTCCTTGGATACTGCAATCCTTCCTTTGAGCAAATACTGTCGTCCAAATAAGCAGTAGAGGGAGAAAAGATCAGAAATTCGGAGAGAAAGGAAGAAAAGACATGAGTACGAGATAGAGAAAGAGAAGGAGCAAATTACAGGGGCAATCCCCGTTCATGCATTTCTGTGCTAATGTTGCAGAGTGTGGTGCGCTGAAGCGCCTTTGGAATGGGTTTGGAGATAAAGGCAGGAAGAGGAGCAGCAGCAGTGGGATTAGAAAAGTGAGAAGTTGGCGAAGGAAAGAAGCCAAGGCAAAATGAAGCACCAGCCATGAGTTGAACTTGCTGCTTGCTGAGTGTGTTGTGGATGTGGGAGAACGGATACGAAGCCAACACTGTCAAAGTCCTTTAAAATCCATCCCACAAATGGATTTTGGACCATCGGTCGAATATCTCGACAGAGAATTTGGAAAACGATGTGGGTTATGTGAGGCCTGAGCCTCATAGAAACTAGTACAGCCTCGCCTCAATACTTCGTTTAAAATTACCCTACCGGATGGAGCTCAAAAAATCCATCCTAAAAGGTTGTTTTGATGTTGAAAAACCCTCTGATTGATCATGTCAATATCGAGATGTATGAATATGAAAAGAATAAAAGATTTTGAGTCCGAAAAATAGTGTATCTTGCAACATTTTATTTGGACCGTCTATTTTCAAGATTGTTATATATCTATAAATCTACTTAATTTGAATTCATTTTAGAGTTTAAAGTTTTATAATTAGAGATAAAAATAGATTCTCAAAGCATCCTATTAATTTTTTATATCAAAATTATATTTATAATAAAATTTAGAGGTACGCCTTAATTGGATTGTTTAATGTTGCAACCTTATTGAAACATCACCCTTATCAGATATATCCCCATAATTGCCTATATTTCAAACTTATTTTTATTTTTCGTTTAATACATCTATATCTAGTTTTAGCTTAAAAAAATATTTTTACCCCCGTAACGGCTCTTTAGAGCCGTGACAGCTCGAAGGTAAGCCTATAAACCGTCATGGACCTGCTACGCCCGTGACGGTCACCACAGCTATATTAGAGTCACAACGGCTGAAGGGTTCTTGGAACCCTTTCGGCAAGCTTCCTGGTGCTTCAAGAAGCCTGTAATCGTCACTTATATGGTACATCTATAACGGTCGCCACGGCTCTAATAGAGCCACGGTGCAATCTGAAACGTTTGTGAAAGGCATCATATGTAAAAATGAAGCGATGGCATCCGTACAGAGAGGGAGGGGCAATGGCAGCTAGGAAGGAGAGGGAGAGGGAGAGGGAGAGGGGAGATGGCACGTGGGACGGAGATCGGCGAGGGAGAGGGGAGATGGCACGTGGGACGGAGATCGGCGATGGCAACTGACGAGAGGAAGAGGGGGGGTGACGGATTGCGTAAAGAGTTACACGAATATAATAGATTCGTGGCAGGGGTAAACGTGCTTTTTATGCAAAATTACTAAGAAATTGGTAGGGATGTATTAAGCGAGAAAGAAAAGGTAAGTTCGAAATAAAGGGAACTATAGGGGCATTCGATCATTTCTACACTGCAGAAATAAAAACCCTTAAAATCACTCTAAAATCTTATTCCATCATTGATAATGAAATTTGTAGCTCAAAAAATGGTATAGATCTCGTGGACTTATAAACACTAGAAAATAGTCGGTCTAAATGTTACGTTACAATATAGATGACTTTTTAGAACTCGAAATCCTTTTTTTTTTTTTTCAAGGTTTAAAAAATCGTCAATCTGGTTAAGAATAAAAAACCGTTGATAATGATCTAGATCCCATAATAAATCGAGTTCCGTCCATGTCCCCCTCGAACTAGCTAGGTTAGGTCGGTTCGTACCTATTTTGTAAGTGTGAAATGACAGTTCCCATGGGCTTCAACCGGTTCTCACATCAACCCAGCACGTATTTTATAATGTATTTCCTATGAACACCATTGTGGGCCTGCCCATCAATACAACACAACCCTTTTGCATGGCAGGGGGTTACATCCCCTTTTATAGTCCGTCTTGGCTTATAAAAATTTTAAAAAAATATCTTTATAGGCTAAAGATATTTTTATTTCTCTATAGAATCAAGATTTTGAAACCGTATTATATTTTTTAACCCTCTCAAGTAGCTTTATCTATTTTTACTCCAACTCTTTAACCCAAATAAATTTCAAAAAAAAGCTTCTAACTAAACCCCATGTCTCTCTCTATCCCCACGAATCTTCCGAACTCCTCTCTCTCTCCTTCCCCAAATCCCTCTCTCTCTCTCTCTCTTACGTTTTCCCTATCCTCTTTCTCTCTGCCTTGCTTCCCAAATATCTCTCTCTCAATTTTCCCCATCCTTTGCTTCCTCAAATCGGTCACTCTCCCTCGTGCTTTCCCAAATCCATCTCTCTTTATGTTTTTCCCATCCTTTCTTTCTCTTGTGTTCCCCCAAATCCCTCTGTTTCTATTTTTCCCATCCTCTCTCTCTCTAAATCACAGCCTCTCTCTCACCCCAAATCACAACTTAAGCTTTTCTAGCATGATCCTCATCAACTTGTAACATGATATTGGTATACTGGTTTGGTGCATCAATGTGGCATCCATGTAAACTTTACAAGTCATTTATTTACCAATCTAAAATGGCAAGGGCTTATGAGTAGGTAAGCCACCATTTTTCTGTTCATTTATAAGCATGCTTAAGTTGGACTCTGTATGATCAGGTACATTAATGATTTTCCCTTTCAAAATTCTCTCTTGCTTTTCATAAGTTGGAATAAAGTAATATACCCCACTTAGAAAACTCAATCCATTTGTCAATGTGAAGATTCCAATGATTTCGCCAGTTCTTACACAATGTTTTAGGCAATTTCAAGAGGAAATAAAAGAACACATGGAAAACCAATGCCACGAATCGGCCACCAATAAGCCCAACCAGAACAGTTGTAAAGAGCATGAGATGCTCAAGATCTCGCTTTTGATCCAGCATCAGCACTGGGAAATTCAATGGAATCCCAAAAATTTATCTTCTTGGTTAAGTTCTTCTATTTCTTTTGGTTCTTTGTAATCGGATGAGGAAGCACCGGAACTTCTTTCACAACTCATACTTAATCGCTCTCCATTGATAATATCCAAAGTTTCACTGCATGATTTCTTTAAACCAGGCTTTGTAAAAAATTTGCCTTAATTTTGCGCATTTTACTCGAGACTTCTACGGTTTCACTTATTTGGGGGTGAGAGAGAGACCGTGATTTGGGGTGAGACAAACTCAGTGATTTAGAGAGAGAGAGAGAGGGGATGGGAAAAAAGGAGAGCTAGGATGGGAATTGTGGAAGCACAAAAGAGAGAAGATGGGGAAAACAGAGGAGAAAGAGATTTGGGGAAGCACAGGGGAGAGAGAAAAAGAGTTGGAAAGTAAGGAGAGAGAGGGGAGAGAGAAAAAGAGTTGGAAAGTAAGGAGAGAGAGGGGATTGGGAGATTCATGCAACGTATAAAAAAAAGAATTGGTAGAGAAGGTTTACAAATAATGTCTTATTTTAATTAGTTTAGGTTAAAAATATAGAATAAAAATGAGTAAAATTAGCTTAGAAGATTAAAAGATATAATAAATATAAAATATTTATGTCCAAGATAGGTTTTGAAATCCTAGATATAGAGAACCGAAATTTAAAAATAAATTCTATAAAGATATTTTTCTAAAAAATTATAATGTGGGACTATTTGCTTTGCCCCTTTTTGTCAAGTTATAACGTCACCCGCCTTTTTATTGCTTTCTTTAACTTTAACCACAATGAGAAATGATGCTCTAATAAATCGTAGAAACTAGAAACAAATATTATTTTACAAGTGGTAAGATTTTTGTATAAGTTGTAAACCTTATACTTCAAGTAAGATACAATTTATATCTAAAAAAAAAAGTATAAAAGGTTGTTGTTATTCAGTAAAATAAACTATACGATGAACATAGTATATGATTTAATATTGTTTTATTTATTTTTTTAATTTCCTGAATTTTGATATTTTTACTTTCCATTTTTTAGGGGAAAAATATTTTCCATTTTTTAGGGGAAAAATATCTTTGAATTTTTTTTAACGTCATAATATCAAAATTTATAAGGAGTTTTAATTTTATTTTTTATCATATGATATGGAAGTGTTTTCTAATATTTCTTTAATCATGTTTATTATAATATTATAATTAATAATTATATATTGAAAACAAAATATTTTATTTTATTTATTTATTTTATTTGCATTAGAAATTATATGATATATTATTTTTTGTTATAGTTATAAATAAGATTTTTCAAATTAGATGATGTTATACAATGTTGACAAATTCATTTCGGAGTCTTCTTCGATATGGTGAGAAAAACAAAGCAATTCAGTGTTTTGCCCGATTAGGGTGAAGACTTTGAACCTTTTTTTATTTAATATAAATAAATTTTATATATATATATATATATATATAAAATTAAAAAAAAATTCAAAAAATTTAAAACAAAAATATAGATATTTCTTTGCTTCAACCGAAGAAGCAGAAGCTTCGGCAAAATAGGCCCAAAGATACAACACTAAGCTTCACTTCACGCCAGTCTAGGCCTAAAATCCGAAGGCTTCGACATCTTCCCCTGAAGCGAATCAAATATTATAAGATAAATTTTAAATTTATTCTTATTTGTATATTAAAATAATCATAAAATATAAACAACAATTCTAAATTTAGTTTAGAATAATATAGTTAGTTCGATAGTTATAATTTTGGATGAGTAAAGAGAATTAATAAATGTTTGGTACTTTGATGTAATACTAATTTCACTTTATAAAAGTTATTATTTTTTTTAACTTATCATATGGAAGCATTTTTTAATATTTTATGAATCATTTTGATGTAATATTATATTATTATATTATAATTAATAATTATACAGGCATCCAAACATAAAAACATCGCAATATTCACTCATTTTTGCAAATAATGAAAGCATATAATGCAACACTACTATTTTGTTTTTCAAAATTAAAAAACATATTACTTTTAGAGATTTTTTGAAATTTTTTTGAAGTCAAAACAGGCCAATCTGCCCGATTCTCTGATCTGGATCGCCGATCCAGTAATCTGGCATGGTTTTTTGGGGTGGTCAATTTGGGTCACCGATCTGTTCTTTAAACCTTGTTTTTTTTCACATCCATAATAGTTGTAGTCGAGATGATCGATTTAAAATTTTTCTTAATGTTGAAACTATAAATTTTGATTAGATTTATGATGCGGCATTACATTTTTTCTTAAGTCTTACATTAAATTTTAAAATATTCTTTTTTAGATTTATCAGCGCTCATTTAATCCTTTGCAGCTATGTACTATTTTTTGAGCTGCAAAACTATGAATCAAAACTTAT